CACAATAAAATTTTGGGTCAGATAATAAAAATCTTGGTCAAAGATGGAGGGTTTAAAGAATGTCTTCCCTTGTAGGGACAGCAGAGAAAATTAGCTGGAGAGCTGTGGAGGGAATCCTTGAGTTTGGGATGGGTAAATGAAATGAAGGCCACCAGTAGTAGAAGAATACCAGTTGGCGATACTTGAGTTTCGTGCAGTGAAGAGTTTAATCCTTTAAGTCAATCCAGCAGATTCTGTTATTTTGTGCAGTTGAACTCAGCAGGATTTGAGATCTCAAAGGTTCCAGCTTCTGATGCTATGGGTGCAGTGCTCTTAGCTGCTCCCTTTTTTTTTTTTTTTCTTTCCTGCCCCCTCTCTTTGCAGAGAACGTTCATCTGGATGGTTTCTGCTTTTGTCTAAGCAGCATTTTTCTTTATATCTTAGTGGGGAAGCTAAGACGGCCGCTGTTATAAGGACTGGGAGTGGGAGTATGTAATTCAAACCTGCTCCATTTTAATATGATTATGGCTAATTCTCCTTTCCTGCTGCTCCCCATAACCTTTTTTTAACCTGTTACCTTCTTAAAAATTAAAAGAAATGTTACTGGGTGATCTGTATGAAGGCCAAGTGTGCATTAGCATTCTGGAAATAGCCCTTCTCCCACCTGTGTCTCTTGGTCATTAACTAGGAGAAAGCTAATTTATAGTCGTTGTGTTGTGAAGATTTTTAGTATTACTTGGACTCTAGTTTTGAAGAAATGTTGTGAAAGGAATTTAAACTTCTGTGCATGTACCTTCTTTAAAGGAATCACTCCGGGTTACTGAAAATTCACTGTGCTTGTGGTCTTGTTAAAAATATTTCCAACATCCAAAGATGTGACTGATAATAGCTTGCTTTGCCACAGACTGCCAGGACTGTTTTGCATAGAGACTGGCTTAATGAAGTTCTTCTTTTATCTGATTTAAGTTGGAGGAAAGAAGCTACCCAGCTGCTCTTCTTCCTTAAAAGTAACCCTGCTTGATTCAAGGTGAAATCTATTTTACTTGTGAAAAGGTGATTGAGAAAACATCTCCAGATTTGTATTTCGAAAGCAAACTGTGTGTCTGCAAGACTTAAGATAACTGCATATAATTTAGTGACTTAACCACCTGCCAGCACATTGGAGTCTGTTACTCAAGAACATCCTCTGCTTCTTTCTGACTTCAAGAACAGCCCATTTGCTGAAGTGTTTTTCTGCAGGAAGCCAATCTGTAGGTTTTTTCTTTACTGAAGAATGTGTATTTGGGGATATTTAAGATGATATAACAAACATGTTTATTACTGATTCTCTAATTATTCAATATGTTTTTGTGTTGAGAAACTTTGATTGTTAGATCCTTGTTTTAAAACCTGATTATAGATGAAGCATTTTAATTGGTCACTTTGGTAGCTGGACAAAATATGTTTGTTTTATGTTGTGGGTAGTGGGGCTAGTGTAGACAGACAGTGCACTCCTGCAGCCTTGCTCATTGACAATTATTAATGAAACTGCATTAACTGTTGGTCAAGAGTCTTTGTCTAATTCATTTGAATTTGTATTCATTTTAGTGTTGAAAGTATGTTGTCAATAGCAGGTAATAGACAAACTATCATGAAACACCTCAGAATACACCAATTTGCAGCTATGACTATACCTACACACCAAGGACTTCAAATGTTAAAGGCTGTTCACCATAGTTTTGAGGGCAATTGGAGTTGGACAATGAATGCTGGCCTATCCAGTGATGCCCTACCTATGAATTAAAATGCCATCAAGACACACTTGTGACTTCTCTGCTTTAACTCCAAGTCAGTGACACTGGCATTGTGAGGATCTTGCAATCTTGTTAAAACCCTATCTATATAAACAATGCTAATTCTTCACGTAGAGAATTTAGTCATGGAACTCGCTCAGATGATCTGTCACATACTACCTTGATCGCTCAAGTCTTGAGTGCCTGATCTGTTACCGTGAGTTCTTGAGATTGTGTGTATTCCAGGACCAATTTGAGAAACTTTTCCACTTTCTTGCAGACACGGTTAACTTTATAAAGCCCACATTACCCAAGGTTTTCTGCACCAAGCAAACACTGCTTATTGGCTTCCAAACTCCTATTCCCACTACACTAAATTATTAATGGCTCTCCTTTTTGAGCACTGAAGGCTGTGGATGGCTTTGGGGACTTTTGTTGAGTTCCAATGACAAGACTTGGGGTAGGTGCGGGATGCATTTTGGATTACTGTGTTCAATTCTGGCCTCTTTGCTGTAGGGAGGATGTTGTGAAACTTGAAAGGGTTCAGAAAAGTTTTACAAGCATGTTGCCAAGGGTTGGAGCGTTTGAGCTATGGGGAGATGCTGAATAGGCTGGGGCTATTATCCCTGGAGCATGAGAGGCATGCATAGGGAGAATAGCCAAGGTCCTTTTCCAGGGTAGAGGAATCCAAAATTAGAGGGTGAGAGGGGCAAGATTTTTAAAAAGACCTAAGGGGCACCTTTTTCACGCAGAGGGTGGTGTGTGTATGGAATGAGCTTTTGGAGTTTGGTACAATTACAACATTTTTTTAAAAGGCATCTGGATGGGTTTATGAATAGGAAGGGGTTAGAGAGAGATGTGCCAAATACTGGGAAGTGGGACTAGATTAATTTAGGGTATCTGGTCAGCATAGATGAGTTGGACCAAAGGGTCTGTTTCTGTGCTTTATGTCTCTATGACAAGCTGGCTCCCAGGGCAATTGAGACGTAACTGTTTGGATCTTACTGCAACTGCACCATTTTACGCATGTGGAATCTCTTCTCTTGTACTAATTTGTTGGGGGACTCATTTATATAGATATGACGACCTGACATAGCCATCTGGTTTTTGTGCCGATCCTGGTCCCAGGCTGAGGTGTCGATTTTGTGCACACCCTTGGTCCAGATGATTGAGCTGTTTGTAATAGGTAAAGCTTGCACATGCTTCACTTCTATGCTACTGGTCTGAGCATATTCCTGGGGCTAATGGGGAATTGCTGTCCTTGCTGGAGCAAATGAATTTCAGGTTTCATAATGCACACCATAGGCGTCTTAAGAGATTGTGTGATTGTGTTTTTCACTTGCACGTAGGCTGCTAGAACAGATTTGTGTGTAGTGTTTTTTGTCTTAGTTTTGTATGGCGAATGCAGACTCACTATTTTCTTACCTGTGGAAACTTGTAGGAGGAGAAACGTGTAATAAAAGCAAATCCCATGCCACATTCTGCTATCCCATTCAAGCCAAAATCCTTGGAAGAGAAGCTTGTAGAAGTTCAGCCATTCTCATTTGAAGCCCGGGACAAGCAGAGGGAAGCATTAAAGGAAAAGAAAATACAAGAATTGCGCAAAGAGTTGACTGAGGTAATTCGTTTTAACATTTTAATTGATTTTTAAAAACAGCCATTCTTCAGAATCCAGTTTGAGAGGTTACGCAAATTCTTACATCTTGGAAGTTAGCCAGACATGTTGAGAATATGGTTGATTACAGGGTACATGGCTTTGTAAATGGGCATGTTTGAATATGAAAATGGTGGCTCAGTGCTGCTTCACAGTGCCAGGGACCTGGGTTTGCTTCCAGCATTGGGTGACACTGTCTGTGCGGAGTTTGCACATTTTTCCCCGTCTGTGGGTTTCTGCTGGGTGCTCCAGTTTCCTCCCACAGTCCAGGGATGTGCAGGCATGGTAACTACAGTGTTACGGGGATAGGGTGGGGTTGTGGGACTGGATGGTATGCTCTTCGGCGGGTCAGTGCAAACTCGATGGCCTCTTTCTACCCTGTAGGAATTCTGTGAAAACAAGGAAGTCATGATAAGCCTTTATAAACACAAGGCCTCACCTGGAGTATTTTGTACAATGCCAGCCATCTTGCTTTTTTCTTTGAAGAATGTCAAGTCTCTAGTGCGATAAGAGGAAGTTTATCAAAGAGATTGGAGCTTAGTAACAGAAATTGGGATTGTTTTTGTTTGAGCAGATATAGCTAAAGATTTTACAAAAGTACGTCACTAACCACAAGTCCTTGCTTTAAAATGGTTTACAAAGGAACAAGGGGAGGAATTTTGTTGTTTTTTCCGTCCCACAGGATTATGGAGAAAAAGTAGCCAGTGTGTGGAATTGAATTGGACAAAAGCTTTTTTTAGTCAGTTAAAGTTGTACTTGTCTGAACATATTTACAGACTCTGTTGCTTATTAATGTCTGTATTGTCCCTTGTACAGTTCCCTAGCTTTAAAGCTCAACTGCTCCCTGACTTTAATTCTACTCGGTTACCAGAGAAGATGGTAAAGTCTCCAACTAAAGTGCAGCCATTCCACCTGCGTTTACAAGAACGTGGTGCTATCAGAGATCAACGCTGGGCACAGATGGTAAGCGGTTATGGTCCTTTGCCGACTATTTTTTCTTTCCTTCTGGTTTTTGTTTTGGGTCCTCCAATTATCTGGTTAATCAAAAGATAAGCCCCTCCTCTAATGGATGATTCTGCATCCCCTTTCTTGACAATCAGTACCGATTTATTTGTAACACCATGGAGGGGGAAGAGCAGGAAGTTGAGCAAGAGGATGAGTTTTTTTTTTCTCTCACCCCCACCCAACTGCATGTAGACTCTAGATGACTTGGATATCCCAGACCTTTTTAACTGTATTACACAAAAGACAGAATGTGTCAAGACCTTCACTGGATAATCAGACAAATTCAGTTTTCATAATAAAAACCAAAAGAACTGCAGATGCTGTAAATCAGAAATAAAAACAAGTTGCTGGAAAAGCTCAGCAGGTCTGGCAGCATCTGTAGAGAAATCAATGTTTCAGGTCTACTGACCCTTCCTCAGAACTCAGACCTGCTGAGCTTTTCCAGCAACTTCTGTTTTTGTTTAGGGTTTAATAGTTATTCCTGCTGGGAGTTGAATGTGTGGGAGTGGGTGCTCAAGCAAGATGGGGGATGGCAGGTGTTACTTTTTTGAACAGCCCAAGTCCTGCATGTGGACAGTAACGTTTTAAGATATAATTTCTTTCTACAGATGAAAGAAGAGCTGAGACAACAAAAAGAAGCAACGTGCTTTAAAGCTAACCCCAATTCTGTCATTTATCGTGAACCATTTCTCCCAAAGAAAGCAGACCGGTCATTAATAGGTAATCTGTTAACTTTTTTTCTTATTTGGAAAGGGGATGGTGGGCTGGGAACTGAACAGTGAAATGTTAGACTGTTGGGTGAACTGACTACCAGTGGTCATGAGATGGAGGGTCCTGTAGGCAGATCATGGGAGTTTCCACTTAGTTAACCCCCAAAGCTTTCACAACTGAAATCTTTAGTTGCTGAATGCTATCAATGTAGAGGTTGGTATGGGTCATTGCAAGTCTTGAAGGATTATTTGCTTGTAGTAAACCTACCCACAATAGATTGATTAAAGATGATTTCCCTTTCTCTAGGTTGATTCTGTCCACTTAACTCAATTTTTAAGTGTCCTGCTAAAAGTCTTTAATAATAGATTCTAAATCTTCCCTGTGACAGGTGTTAAACTAACTGGCCTGTTACCTTGCTTTGTCTCCTTTTTTGTTTTGAATAATGGAGTTATTTTTCATATTTTCCAAATCATGGAACATTCTGAATCTAGGGAATTTTTAAAAATCAAAATCAATACATCAACTATCTTCCTTTTAAGACCCTGGGATGGATTCCATCAGGATCTGACAACTTGTCGACCTGCAGCTGTAACAATTTGCTCAGTATCACTTCCTTGGTGATTTTGGATTTTTTCCTGAGTTCCTCCCTTCTATTTCTTGCTTTTACAGATATTTCTGGATTGTTACTTCTGTCTGTTCAAATCATCTGCCATCTCCTTCCTTTCCATTATTAGTTTCTCAGGATTTCTGTCAATAGGACCAACACTTAGAAACATAGGCATTAATAAAGTATAGAGACTTTATTTTTTATTAGCTATCTTTTTATTTCTGGTTGACTTTTTCTTGTACTTTAATCTTCTCTCCTAAGTAAAGAATGACTAAAAAGTTAACTTTTACATTCTGTCCAACCTGCTGACCTTTAGAAATAATTATATACTTTGTATCAAACAATCTTTTTTAAATTTTTAATTAAAAGACCCAGCATCTGTGGTTCTAATTGGAACATGACATTTCTGAAATATTTCCTTAAATGTTTACCACTGCATCTCTCTGCCGTAACCTGATTTGACCAGGTCACTTTCGCGAGCTAATCTTTTAAGCGTGGGGTGCTCTTCAGAGGGTTGGTACAAACCCAATGGGCCAAATGTCCTCTTTCCACATTGTAGGGATTCTATGAGAACTGCAAGAAGAGGTTCCTTTTATTATTTTGTTTTTGTTTGATTTGTTGTCTCATCACTTCCCCCTAAAGTGTGTTTTCCCTTTGTCACACATGATTAATATTTTATTTGAACCCTTGCTTTTCAAACTTAGAAAATATTGATTCCACAGTTCAGGAGACGTTTGAACTGGCAACAGAGAAGCGTGCAAAAGAGCGTGCAGAATTCGAAATGCGTAAGGCAGAGAAAGAAATCATGAGGGAGAAGGCGGAAGAGGAAAAACGAAAAGAAAATGAAGAGAGAGAAAGAGAAGAAACTGCTCGACTTCGGCAGGAGCTAGTGAGTAACTGGTTATTTGGGGTCGGTTTAGCTCAATTAGCTGAATAAATGGTTGGTTTGCGAAGCAGCGTGATGCCAACAGTGTAGGTTCAATTCTCGTCTCTGGCTGAGGATTACCATTTGAAGAACTCAACCTCTCCCTTCGCCCGAAGTATGGTGGCCCTCAGGCTAAATCACCACCAGACGTCTCTCTAATGAGAGAGTAGCCTCATAGTTTGTTAAGACTATGGTGACTTGACTGATTTTTATCTGCTGACTTGAAGACAATAGGTCAGTGTATTTGCTTGGTACAATTGTCCTTTTCTAATGTTTCTGAATAGGTTGCATTACATTAGAGGATGAGTACCTAGTCGCCGAGTGCTTAAATCCAGGAGTATGGTAATTGAAATCTGTGTGTTAGGGGGAGGTGGCATGACCTTTACAAACAAACAAAGCCTCTAGAGAGATGGAACTTTACGACTGAGGTCTGGAGGCACTAACTAAATATGCAGTACTTCGTTACAATTTGGAGTGGTTCATCCTGTTAAACAGGAACAGTTATTTAATATGAAATTAATTAATTAGTTGCAATATCTCTACAGATGTGTTTATTATAATCTGAGGAAACAGTTACTTGGACACTTTATTCCAGAAGACAGGCACATCCCTTATTCTAGGTACTTCAGATTTGACTTGTGATTAGGTGTTGGACCATACAGGAGGTTGGATAGTGATCAAGGAGGAGCAATAGAGGAGTCTCAGCGCTTCAAAATTGCCAACTGTTTTAAGGTTGTTGCACCTTGTATGGTTAAGAGTGGGGACTGCAGGGAGGTCGGCAAAGTGACAGAGCCCTGGGCAGCAGGAGGAATAAGACAGAATGTATCTCGGAGTGAGAGTCCTGAAGGCTGTGTTGTCTGTCCCTCTGGGCTGGTTAATGATCTCTTGGGAGAGGAACTTGGAGTTGGAGGGAAAGCATCCAGTTATTGTGAATTTGTGAGGGTGCTGATGACATAGGGAAGATTAAGAAAGGGGATCTGTCCAGACTATTGGCATCAGGAATTAAATTTAAAAAGCAGAGCCATATAAAGATTACTACCTGAGCCTTGAGCAAGTTAGTGTAGGGTGTGCATGGCACACAGACTGGCATGAGGTATATGAAAGCTATCATTAACTTAGTTGGCTGGATGGCTGGTTTGCACTGCAGAGTGATGCCAATAGCATGGATTCAGTTTCCATTCTGGCTGAGGTCACTGTGAAGGTCCCACGTTCTCTAACTACCTTCAGTCTGCCTGAGGCACCCTTGGGTTAAACCACTGCCAGTCATTTCTCTAATGAGAGAGCAGCCCAATGGTTCTTGTGGGGTTATGTTGATCTTACCTTAGCTACAATATCTCTATGGAAAATTGGCTGAGTATTTAGATTGGCATGGTTTCAGCTTTTAATCTATTCAATAAAGTTACTGAACAATTAACAATTTTGATTTTCCTATGCTATGAATGAAACAAAACTTTGCAATCCCTTCAAGGTTCTGTAGGTAACTTTTTTTTTATTTTTACTCATTTCCTGGTAATTTTAACTCCGTTACAGATTCAAACAGCCTTAACTACTGTACTCCACTCATTTAAATGTGGCAATGACTATCTGGCGTGTATGTCATAGTTTTATAATGGCAGATGTAACTGAGCAAACACATCATTGTTTTGAATATAGCTTGAACTTTGTCAGAAGACCAGAATGGATTGTTCTTGCATTATGTTAGACAGGATTTTAAATTTTTAAACTTGATTACCTTGAGTGATTTGGTACTTAAAAAGGACCAAAGAGCCTCGTCTGTCACATGTTCCTTCATTCAGATCCACCTGTGCAGCATATACATCCAGTTTCCTATCTCCCAGCAGGTCTGAAGTAACTGTTCAGTGGGGCTAGTGGTTTGGAGGTGCTAGTTTTTAAGAGGTTCTTGACACGTTTTCCAGCTACATTCCAATATTGTCCATTTGAACTTTAGTTTGTGTTTTAGAAGAGAGATAGAAAAACGATTCCTGTTACTACTTGTCTGGAACCGATTCTGAGGACAGGGCTTTTGTTCAAAATGGTGTGGCTTTTGTAACGGGCAGGCAGACCTGTAGATGTTAGACATTTTAATGATCTGCTGTGGCCTTCAATTTAACAGCTCCCAAAGCCATGTAAGGATTCTGTCCATTAGTCATTCAATCTTCTGGGCCATCATGTACAAATATTTTGCCAGTATTACTATTGGTGATAGGTATTTGTTTGAATGTTCAGGTTATTTGGCTGTCATTAACAACTATAATGAGTATGAGTTAAAAGTTCAGTGCTGGTTATTTCTAATTCTGGGCATTTGCTGCTTGAATATGGATTAGTAAATTTCCTCCATGATCATTTAAACATAAGATAAGATACTATAGTATTGCTATTGATTTTAAAAGGAATATTTAATTTTACTTAGCATTGTAGTTGTTTCATTTGAGAGAGCCTGTCTGTACAGAGTGCTGTATTTCAGGGGGGAAACAGTTCTTGACTTGGATTTATAGTGGTGTACTCCTATAAGGCTTAGTATGGCATAATCTTTTTTTTTTGAACAGAGGTACTTTAATATTCTGGTGTTGGTTGAGTCTGCAGTTTTCAGGTCATCTACTGCAGTGGTTAAATAGGGGGGAGAAAAAACTGAGTCTTGACTTTTTGTTTTCCAGGTTCACAAAGCAAATCCTGTTCGACATTACAAGAAAGTGGAAATCAAACCTAGTGACCAGCAACTAACAGTTCCACACACTCCTCATTTTTCAGATAGATTCAGGCTGTGATGTAATTTACTTTACCTTCAGTATTATTGTGGGCAGAATCGCTGGAGGGTTTGTAGCTGTCTGTAATGTTTCTAACTCGATTTCAGGATTATTGCTATAGCTCTTGTATTTGGTTCATGATCATTAATTTTGTAACTTTGTTTCACTCAATAAAGTTAGGCATTTTAATCACACTATATTTTAAATATTATAAAATATTTGGAAGTTGTCTGTTTTGCTTCTCAGCTTGTTAATTTTCAACATGAAAATTAAATGTATTTGGTAACTGGATGGAATCGGAGGTAAGTGTGGAGCTGGAGGAACATAGCAGGCCAGGCAGCATCAGAAGAGCAGGAAAGCTGATGTTTCAGGTTGGGACCCTTCTTCAGAAATGGGGGTGGGGGAAGGGAGCTCGGAAATAGAGAGGAGGAGTGGGGCTGGGGAAGGTAGGTGGGATGGTGGGGATTGGTCAGTAGGAAGGGTGATGTGGCTAGGTGGGAGAGAAGATGGACTGGTGTCAGGTCAAGGAGGTGGGGTTGAGAGGGAGGGTTGGACATGGGATGAGGCCAGGGGCAGGGAGATTTTAAAACCGATGAATTCCATATTTAGGCCACTGGGCTGTAGGCTGCCGAGTTGGAATAGGAGGCGCTGCTCCTCCAGTTTGCGGGTGGTGTCATTGTGACACTGGGAGACATGTCGCTCTGAGTCAGTGGGGGTGACTGGAAAGTGTTGTCGTTTGTCGTGTATAGAGCACAGATGCTCTATAAAACGGTCTCCAAGTCTATGCTTGGCCTCACTGATTGTAGAGGAGGCCACATTGGGGGCAGTGGATATAGTAGACCAAGTTGATGGAAGTGCAGGTGAGCCCCTATCTAATATGGAAGGTTTGTTTTGTGCTTTGAATGGAGGTGTAGCATTTCCTGCGGTTGCAGGGAAAGATGTGGGGAGTGTAATATATCTTTGGTTGTGGGGTCGGATTGTAGGTGGCGGAGAATGATACGTTAGATGTGGAGGTTGGTGGGATGTGAGAACAAGAGAGAATTCTGTCTTTATTTCTGCAGGGGAGGTGATGTGAGGGCAGAAATACTGGAAATGCAAGAGATGCAGTTGAGGGCATTTTTGATCACCGGAGGGGGATTGTTGCAGTCCTTGAAATAGGAGGACCTCTGGGATGTGCAAGAGTGGAATGCCCCATCTTGCGAGCAGACCCAGTGCAGGAATTGGTAGCAGTGGATCGCATTCTTGCAGGAAGGTCAGTGAGAGGAGGTGTAGTCCAGGTAGCTGTGGGAGTCGGTGGGCTTGAAATAGATGTCAGTTTCAAGGCAGTCACCAGAGATGGAGAGGGTCCGGGTGAATTTGAGGTTGGGGGTGAAAGGTGTTCGTAAAGTTGATGAACTGTTCAAGCTCCTCATGGGAGCACGAGGCAGTGCCAATGCAGTCATCAATATAGCAAAGAGGTGGGGAATAGTGCCAATGTAGCAGTGGAAGAGAGAATGTTCCACATATCCTATGAAGAGGCAGGCATAGCTTGACCCATGCAGGTTCCCATGGCCACCCCCTTGCACTGTAGGAAGTGGGAGGAGTTGAAGTTAAGGGTAAGGACGCGTTCAGTTAAGCAGATGAGGATGTCAGTGGAGGGGGACTGGTTGGGCCTGTGGGAGAGGAAGAAGCGGAAGGCTTTTGGGCTATCTGTGTGGGGAATGCATGTGTGCAAGGATTGGATGTCCATAGTGAAGATGAGGTGTTGGGGGGCCAGGGAATTGGAAGTCTTGGAGGAGGTGGTGGGCGTGGGTGGTGTCTGGATGTAGATGGAGAGTTCCTGGACCAGGGAGACCAAAGAGTCAAGGTAAGTGGAGATGAGTTCAGCAGGGCAGGAGCAGGCAGAGACAATGGGTCAGGCAGGACAGTCAGGTTTGTGGATTTTGGGAAGGAGATGGAAATGGGCAGTGCATGGTTGGGGACTGATGAGGATGGAGGCTGTGGGTAGGAGGTCACCTGAGGTGATAATCATGACCCCCACCACTGACCACCATTTGAGGGGTAGTAGGAGGTGTCAGATGGTGCCTGGCCTCTGCTATGTAAAGGTCAGTGTACCATACCACTACCCCTCACTTATGAGGGTTTGATGGTGAGGTTAGGGAGAGGCTGGACTGAGTGAGGGGTGGCGAGGTTGAGGCAATCAAATGTCGTGACGGTAGTTGGAGATGAAGAGGTCGAGGGAGGGTAGGAGGCCCTGGGCAGGCAGGAGAAAGGGTCAGCAAAGGGTGGGTTAGACTCATGGCTAAAGAAATAAGCACTGAGAAGTTTGAAAAAGTTGTTCCATATGCAAACATGAACTGAATTCATTGTGGGCCACTCCAGCTGCTGCCACCGACGACGTCACTACCTCCACCCTTGCACACCCAGCTCTATACCTAGCCCCAGCCCAGCCGGGACTTCACTGTTCTCTCTCTCTCTCGCACGTGCATACACACACCCCCCACTGAGGATGAACAGTCAGTCCTCAGCAAAGCACTCACCTTCATTCCCCTACGCACCAAGAAAGTGAGTAATAACTAATAGCTGATGCTCTGTGTATTCATGATTCATAATGTGTGCTGTAGACCACATGTTATTTGGGCATTGAACTATTTCTAAACAGCATGGAGAATTGTTCTGTATAGCAAAGCTATGACCAATTGTTCAGCAATCTTCTTGTTTCATGCAGTATACATTGTTTCCATTTTTGATATTTTTGCATCTGTCTCGTACACGAAGGTAAAAACCTTTTTTTAGAAAAAGAAAATGGTACACAGAATACTGATTAAGACTGCTTTTGTCCTGGATTGTGTGGACTTTGAGTGGTGTTGGTGCTACACTTATCCAGACAAGTGGGGAAAATTCTCAGCATCTAACCTGCACTTGTATCCAGGTGTAGCTTGTCCAGTTCAGTTTCTGGTTAATAGTGAGCCTCCAATGGTGATAAGGATTCAAACCCAACTCCAACATCACTTGCCTACTTTTATATTCTATGCCCTTTTTGACCACCCTACTACCATGCCTTCAGAGGTCTATGGACAAAGACACCAAGGTCCTTTTGTCCCATAGAATTTCACTAGGTTGTCACCTCAATTTGAGGCATATTCTGCATGCATTGAAGCCAGGCCAGCTCTGGCTTGATTGTAGGTTGAGGGATATGATGGCCATGAGATTAGACTGTATTCAACCCCAATGCCACTGCAGATTAGTCACATTACTTTTATAGGAACAAGAGAGGCTATTCATCCTCTTAAGACTGTTCCACTATTTACCAAGGTCATTGGCTGATCTGTGGCCTAACTCCATATGCCTGCCTTTGGCCCCATATCCTCTTTATTTTTGCTTAACAAAACGGTCTCTCTGATTTAAAACTAACACTGATCAAGCATTCACTGCCACTCATGGAAAAGTTCCAAATATCTACCACCCTTTGTGTGTAGAAGTGCTTCTGAATGATCTGTAGCTCGGGTTGTGGGTGAGGCTGTTGACTTGCTCACTAAGCTGGCTTATTCTCATTCAGACATTGTCACTATACTAGGTGACATCATCAGTGGAGCCTCTGATGAAGCAATGTTATTCTATTCCACTTGGAATTTATACTGTAAATTCATTATGGTGAGTGTCATTTCTGGTTTTGATCTGTATAAGTTTGTATATGGGATCCAATCCTATGGTCTAGCCTGATTTTTCCCAGATTATGTCCCTTTAATTCTAGAATTCCCAACCAGTAAAAAGTTCATCTACTCTATATTTTTTTTTTCCTGTTAACAGCATGAAGACTTTGATCAGCTCACCCCTCAACCTTAATCCCAGAAATCCAGGCATTGTTCTCGTGAACCTAGATCATACTCACTGGAAGGCTAAAATACCCTTTAGAGCTGTTCACAGTAATCCAAGATGTCATGGTCTGGCAGTTGCCTTCTCCATCTTGACCTGGTGTCATATGTAGAAGAGTCCAAGTAAGGGATCAGTTAGTTAACAAGTGCTTTCCACTAATAAACTGATCTTTCAATGTTTACTATTACTGATACATTTTAAAATCCAGATTTGTTGAATTTTAATTCCACAAACTAGCATCATTCCATTGAATGTCTGGGCATTGTTCTAGTTCAGTAGCATTATCACAGGCTTACTGTCCTCAGTGAAGCACCTGCCTGTTTTACCAAGTTAAAACACAACAGACAACCTTTTCACACTTCCTTTCAACATGGGAATGATACAGAAAATTAGAGTTTAACCTAGGCAGCAGACTGAAGCTAGAATTAGATGTCGAGTGTTCAAGGTGATAGCAAAGGCTTTGAAAGGACCCAACTGTCAAATAATGGTTTAAAAAATGAGAAGTGACTAAATTATAGATTACTTCCAACCGACTGTAATTTGGTTAGTTTTAACTAGCTTTAGGGTGGTAGATAAGTGATACAAGAAACAGGGTCACAGATGTTACTTGTCACATGCTTGGTGCAAACCAACTTACCTGCAAGTGTGTGACTGATTTATTATTATGAGCATCCAGGCTTCAAAGCATTGAAAATTTAAGGAACAAGAATAACAGGATGTTCTGTTTTCAGACTTAAACCATGAAATGGGTTACTTTAATGCAAAGGATACAGTTTGTTAAGATGGGCTAGGTGGAGCACATTTGAACAAGTTATTTAAGCACAAAGTCCAAGCAGCAAAGCAATTTGCTAATGGAGTTAATATCAGGTTCCAGGAAGGGAAATGTGAGACTGAATATCCTAACATGAACAGCAGTAGTCACAAATGGGATTTCCCATTGTCTATGATAGTTCCGGCTGTTAGTTAGGATCCTCTAACAGGATCAGCTGAACCCTCTACTTACTTTCATTCATTCCTCTATTTCACAAAAGGAGCAGACAGCTGTTCTTAAATGTTTTTAAAATTTGATTTGATTTTCTAACAGTGGCTGGCAAGAACATTAAAGAAATGATACACTTCATCTTTGTCAAACACTGCCACTTCCACTGAACACTCTGCACAGCGCACTGGATGGTACACCTCTTCCTTGCCATCCTGTGGTAAGCCAGGCAAGATCTCTGCTGTTGGTCCTTTTACTCTTTTGTATTTGTTCCTTCTCTTCCGGTTTCCTGCTTCCTTGTATCTGAGAACTTCTCCTCTGTTAATAATGCAATTCATCACAAACATAGCCCTATATTGCTCTTTATACAATTCATGCCTGGAAATATAGAGGAGAGAACAAAATTACACTGATGCACTCTAAAGTTTCTGTGCAAAACACATCCCTCATGTCAGATGCATATCAGTTTGGGATGGAATGTAGGTGAGGTGGGGTTGTTTTCCCCAAACAAGCGACTCTTCCATTTCCAACTTGTGCACCTGTGTGGGAGCTGATGTGCAAACTGTGAGCAGGAAACTAGGAATTGATGTTGTGATAAATTTATTGTTGATCAAGCAACACAGTCAGCCTCCTGATTACAAACAGAAGTTGCTTGCACTTCTGGACAATTTAAAATGTTGAATTAACTCTTTCCCCTCTCCACTCATTATGGCCTGTCTGACCTATTGAATATTGCCAGCATTTCTTTTATGTGCTTAACTGATGTGAAACATTTTAGGGCATGCTGAAGACTTTTAGGATTTAGGAAACAAAAGTAGATGTAACATACCTTTCCCTTACCGTCTCCTCCTTATCCACAACAGTGGAAGAGACCCTAGACTGTTTTTGCACAAGAATATCAAACATCTCACTATCAATACTTGCTTTGCGCACGAACTGAAATCACAGAACTTAGGAACAGGGCCATTTCAAAAAGATGTTTGAGTGGATATTTACAGGATCTAAACATCCACTCAACTGCCTGAAAGAGAGTGTTTGGGTAACTGCTGCAACTTCTCATTTATGAAAAGTCCGAGTCTGTTGGTAGATAGCAGCTCAGACTAATCTTGTTATCCTCAAACAGGCTGCAGCTTCTAGACACCAATGAAGTGTTAGAACCGTAGTTCATCGTCCCTCCCTAGCCTGACAGTGACCATCAAACTTATCATTGAGTAGGAACTGAATCTGAAATATTTTGACTGTCTTCTAGCTAGGCATCTGCACAGGAACTAATTGCTTGTGTTGCTTACCGCTGACAATCCAGGCACAGGGTTGTCATACATGCCGGACAGTTTAGAACAGCATCACTGGTTGGAACTGGTGTGGCTTTGGACTGGTTATAAAGCCCACGATACCTTCAAAGGAAGAATATTGGGAGTCTGAGATTTTATTAGATTCACCATTACATTCTATACTTAAGAAAATTTCAACCTCTGATTTTCTTCACCTGATCCACTTTGCCCAAATCATTAATCCAGTTGTTTTTCCTCATCATCCAGCTTCCCCTTCAAAGAGGCTACTATTGTTCCTTTAAAAATGAAGTTTGCCACTGCAAGATCTTCAGTCCTTCTTGTACATTGGTCTCAAATCATGGCCTGATCATAAAATCAACATACACCAGAAACGATATGCCCACTGCCCCCAGCTCCAAGACTCATATCCTTGCAGTTGCTGATTGGCAAATGGTACTGAAAGCCAGACTGACAGGCTGCTTTGGACTTCACAACAGTCTCTTGCTCGTAGAAAACACCTGCCAGCTCATCAGGAGTACGCCCCCTTCTTCAAAGCAAAGATTCACTTACCCTCTCCTCTGCATGTCAACCCAGGCCTGATCACGGTCATCTTGATCCGGATCATACAACAGCTCATCGTTTGTCAGAATCTTGTGCCTCTTGCGTTTCTTCTTTGAATCACATCCTTCTGCAAGGATTAGGGCAATGTTTAGTGTCAGCAAATGAACTCTTGAATGGAAGGGAAAGTTAGGGATCTCCAATCACTCCAATCTTCTGATTTAGAAGAGAAATAAATTTGTCAATCAGAAGTTTCAGTTCATATTTATTGCCACTTTAGTTCCCAGAAAATGTTGTGGTATGCTCCTTTGTTTTTTTTACATAACAGCTAGGAAATTCTTCAGGCGGTGTTTAGAGTCAGCCCTTTGTAGCTGTGGCTGATATGGTGCAGGCCAAATGGGCAAGGGTAACATGATTCTTTTAAGATAAGAATCCAAGAATCTTTTTAAGCATTAATTCAACTGCCTCAGTAGTCTTTATTTCCAGACTGAATTCAAATTCTTAAACTATTGAGGCATTTGATATTTCAGCCTTTCCATTATTAACCAATAACCATCAATATTAACACGTGGATATGTCCCCCATAGAGGTCAACTCTGGTGTATGGAGAATTCTTTACCCTTCACCCCCCTCATAGTTTATGAGGAAGGCTAAATATGTAATCTGTCAGTGCCTCTGGCTGCATGACTCTTCTTGATCCTTCCAATAGTCCAGTTTCTGTTGTTTCCAATTAAATCACTATTGCACATTCTCCTTGAAATGTGACTGAAGCAGCAATTGCAAGGGCAAGAGACTTCTCTCGAGGCCACTTGTCAGACAACAGAAACTGGCAATCTTAGAAAAGCACATTATCTGAAAGTTCTGAAGAGGGTTACACTGGTTGGACCACCTAACCAGTTAGCGACACAGGATTCCTACCCTCAGGAAAGGCTTGGAATTAACTTCAGAATGAAGCAACACACTGGATTGATATCCCGCCCATCACCTTCGACATCCTATATCACCAGGCACAGTAGCAGCTGTGTGTACCATCTACAAAATGCACTGCAGTAAATCAGCTACTTTGACAGCACCTTACAAACTGTGACCTCTACCATCTAAAAGGACACCACCACCTGCATGGACCCTTCCAAACCATACACTATTCTGACTTCAAATTATCACCATGCTGTTGCTCAGTCAAAATCCTGGACCTCCCTTCCTGATAGCATGGTAGGTCCTTACACCAAATGGGGTATTTCAAGAAAATGGCTCACCACTACCTCAAAAGGCATTTGGGGGTGAGCAATAAATGTTATCCTTGACAACAACACACCTCCCAAGCAGGAGTTAATACAGAGCAACTGTTCACATTATGGGGATCAAAAGGCTAGGTCATTTCTCCAATTCGTTGCTACACAACCAGGTGTTCAGAGCAGCACTAGCAGTGGTAACAAAATAGCAGGTAAGCTCAAGTCCTTGATTCAGACTCAATCCTTCAGCATCAACACACTGTACCTTCAAGAGGGACACTGATACCAGACTTCCCCCACTGAGAAGAGAGAAACTGATCCCTTCCCCCAGTGTATAAAGAGACTTGTACAATTCTTAATATCAAGAAGCAGAATTTAGACTCTAGATTTGTAGATAACTGATGAATCTGCTGGTGATCCTACTACTGCACTAGTAATTCAGAAGCCTGGATCAAGGATCCCAACACAGCACTGAATTTTACGTGGAGGTGATGTTCTCACCTTCGAGCGTTAATGTTAAGGGTTATCCTATTCCCATGTGACCAGCAAGGCCTGCAGAGTCAATTCAGTTGCTGGCCTGTAAATTAACTTCAGGCAAGACTTCCAGCCTCATTGGGAGCTGCGGTGATTGGTTAGGATCTGGAATGCAGTGTCAGAGTGTGGTGGAGACAGATTCAGTCAAGATATTTTAAAGGGAATTGCATCATTATTTGAAGAAGAATTTGCAGGGGTAGATGGAGAAGGTAGGTAAATGGCACTGGCTGAAACTGCTCCTTCAGAAAGCCAGCACAGTCACAATGAGCTGAATAGCCTTCTTCTGATCTGGAACAATGCTTTGATTATCCCCTCTCCTTTGGAACAGGATAACTCATTGAATCTAAACAATAACAGATTATGGCAAACTTGAACCTTATCTGTGTGAATCAGAGGTCCAATTCAGGTATAATATAAAGCACTTGGTACTGTACCAAAGTTCACTTTAGCAGGTTCCCAGTAAGCAAGTAGGAAAACAGAATGGATGGAGTCTTACTCTGTTCATCTTCAGCCTCAGAGTCTGAGTCGAAGTAGACTTCATCGTAGTACTGTGGTCCAGGAATAGCTCCAGAGTAACAACTTCCGATGCTCGAGGAAGCACCTAACAAGATGAAGAATGAGAATGATCAACTCTTCAATTAAAAAATTGCTTGTGTGTGTGACAATTATACTCATCAAGGCATGGGCTGCTGGTATAAGGAACAAAACTCCATCCACCATCGAACACACCTGGGACAGGGACAGCACGGGGTTAGATAGAGTAATGCTCTTTTAAACTGAAAGTAAAGATCCCCAATGCTGTGCATCAAACACTCCAAGGTCAGATTTAGTACAAGTTTAGACACAATAAAGCTCCCCCATTTAAACAGAAAGTAAATGCCCCACTACTTCCAAGCTGAAAATAAAGCTCTCTCTACACAGTCTCCATCAAACACTCCCTGGACGGAGATAGCATAGGGTTAGGTAAAAAGTAATGCTCTCTGCACTATCCTTATCAAACACCTCAAGGACAAGTACAGGAAGGGGTTCAGACACAGAGTAAACTCCCTGCTACTCTTTTTAAATGATGGAAAATTTTTCTCTTCCAAACTGAAAGTAAAACCACTTCTACACTGTCCCCAGTCATTCCCAGGACAGGTACACTATGGGGTTAAAAAACAGAATAAAGCTGTTTCGGCACCACCCCCATTAAACACTCCCTGGAAAGGATACAAATATGGGTTTTTAAAAAAATTATTATTCATTCACCGGATGTGGGTGTCACTGTCTAGGCCAACATTTATTGCCCATCTCTAGTTGTCACAGGTAAGAGTCAACCACATTGTTGAGAGTCTGGACTCATATGTAGGCCAGACCAGGTAAGGATGCCTGTTTCCTTTCCAACAATCGACAAAAGATTCATAGTCATCATTAGACTCTCAATTCCAGATTTTTATTGAATTCAAATTCTACCAACTACCATGGCAGGATTCAAACCTGGATCCCCAGAACATTAAATGGGTCTCTGGATTAACAGTCAAGCGATAATACCACTAGTATGTGACTTCCCTTTATGTAGACAGAAATGGTAAGCAGCACTAAGTGCACTGCTCCTTCAGAAGGCCAGCAGACAAGGTGGGCTGAATGGCCTCCTTCTGATTTGTAACAACCCTGTGATTTCTTCCTCTCCCTCTGAAAAGGATAACTCACTGAAGAACAAAGAACAATACAGGACAGGAACAGGCCCATGGGCCCTCCAAGCCCAGGCGACGCATTTTGCCCTTCCATACTAAAACTTACAGGATCGCTATCCCTCTATTCCCTTCCTATTCGTGTATTCATCCAGGTACTTTTTGAATGCTGCTATTGTGTCTGCTTCCACTACCTCCTCTGGCAGCACGTTCCAAGCACTCACCAACCTTTGTGAAAAACCTGCCTTGCACATCTCTTAAACTCCACCTCCCCCAACCCCACTCCGAACCTGTGTCCGCTAGTAATGGACCCTTTCATCCTCGGAAAAAGCCTCACACTTTCTACTCTATCCATGTCATTCACAATCTTATAAACTTCTCTTGAGTCACCCCTCACCCTCCTGCATTCCAGTGAAAACAAACCCAATCTATCCAAGCTTTCTGCATAGCAATTCCCCATACCATTTAACAGTTGATAAACTTTTTCTGTACTCTATCCAAAGCATCCACATCCTTCTGGTAGTGTGGTGACCAGAACTGTACGCAATGTTCCAACTGTGGTCTAACTAAAGTTCTTTAAAGCTGCAGCATAACTTGTCTATTCTTATACTCAATGCCCCTTCCAATGAAGGCTAGCATGCCTTGGTCTTTTTTGCTACATTATCTACCTGCGCTGCCACCTTCAGTGATCTGTGGACCTGCACACCCAGATCCCTCTGCACATCAATACTCCTAAAGGTTCTGCCATTGACTGTATAATTTCCACCTGTACTTAACCCTCCAAAATGCATCACCTCACATTTGTCTGGATTAAACTCCATCTGCCATTTTTCTGCCCATGCCTCTAACTGATCTATATCCTGCTATATCCTTGGACAATCCTCCTCACTACCTGCAACTCCACCAATCTTTGTATCGTCTGCAAACTTATTAATTAGACCAGCCATATTTTCCTCAAAATCATTTATGTAGACCACGACCAGCAGAGGTCCCAGCACTGATCTGTGCTACACCACTAGTCACAATCCTCCATTCCGAAAGCATCCTTCCACCACTACCCTTTGTCTCCTATGATTAAGCCAGTTCTGTATCCATCTTGCCAGCTCATCCCTGATACCATGTGCCTTCACCTTTTATACGAGACTGCCATGAGGTTGCTGTTTGTGGTCTACACTGGGATGTTGTCTCTGGAGCCAAGTGCCTTTCTAAGTTGTCCAACAGCATTATCTTCACTAAATAATACAAAATGCTGGAGAAACTCAGTAGATTTGGTAGTATTTGCAGACAGAAAATCAGAATTAACTTTGAATCCAAAATGACACTTTTTTCGGGATTATGCTATCTTCATTACAAAGTAAAGCTAACATTGTGCACTAGTGCTACTATATGAAAATTAAAAGTTTAACTAAAATTTGATATTTAAATTGTCCAAGTTAATGAATGCAGTTAACTTAGTTCATCAATTCACACACAGTGAGTTTAAGGCAGCTTCGTTTGCTGCATGCGTGTTGAAAAGAAACTGAGCCAGGAATTTAGACAGGAGATTGTCTTACACATGCATCCATTAGTATGAACTAGAATTTGAAATTTACTTGATGTGAAGGAAATAACCATCTTTAGTGTTTAATTTTCTAAAACAAAAAGAATGATGCAAAATGTTTAATTTCAGGAAACATATTGAAAATCCTCCAAACACACCTTCAGCTGATAATTCCCAACCCTTCTCAATAATTTTCATGGTGGAATCCAGTTCTGCTGCCATCTCTTTCTCAAATTCATCTTCGCTGGACTCACTCTCTCCTGTTAAGTACTCCTTGATCAGTTTACGCTTGCGTTCAGGCGTGCCATGGAGGAGAACGTCCAACTCATCCTCAGAGCTGGAATAAGCATAAAATATATTCAAAGCTTACCACCAACTAAGGCCTATCCATACTCAAAATATATGAAAGGAACAAATACACTCAATAGAACCCAGAAACATACTCTATCAATTCTGGAAATATCTCAAAATTGGCAACCTTAGTCAAAGAATGATTGGGAATGGTAGGACATGTCAATACTCAGAATGATGGTGGTGGTGAGCTGCCTTCTCAAACCATGAGTCCATGTGCTATAGATACACCCACTATTAGGAAATGAATCCCAGGATTTTGACCCTGTGACAAGTGAAGGAACAATAATCTAGTTTTAGTTGAGTTTAGAAGTAGGGATGTCTTCCTGCAGTTCTTCAAGGCCCTGGTTAGACTACACCAGGAGCAGTGTACGCAGTTTTGCTCTCTTTAACTAAAAGAGGATATACGTGCATTTGAGGGAATACAGCAAGAGTTCACTCAGCTGATATCTATGAGAAAGTGGCTCTAGTGGGCCTGTATTCGTGGAGTTTAGAACATGTCTGGTGTCTGATTGAGAATTTTAACAGAGTGGATAGATTAGATGCAGGGATGATGTTTCCCTGGTTGCGTCACTCAGGATATAGGGTACACCATAGAGGCTGGATTACTAAGTATGTTCAAGAACAAGACTAAATTTTTGGGATATTAAAGACATTAAGAGGCATGCAGAGAAAGTCAAAATGATGTTCAGATAGAGGATCAACCGTAACCATATTAATGATGGAATTGTGAATGCCTGCTCCTGCTTTAAATTTTGATTCAAATTCCAAGTCAGGATAGTGTGCGGCTCGGAGGGGAACCCAATCTGTTCTCCTTGTCCCCCTACTTGGTAGATCTTGGAATTCAGAAGGTGCTGTTGAAAGAGCTTGGCTGACTTGCTGCAGTGTACTTTGGGAATTAATGTTGAAATTGATGAATAGGATGCTGATTAAACTGGGTTCTTTGCCCTGGATGGTGTCAGAGCTGGACTCTTCCAGGCAAATGGGGAGTATTCCTGATTGTATCCTGCAGATGGTGGACAGGTTTTGGGGGTGTCAGATGATAATTAATTGCTTTAGACCTGCTTTTGTAGCCACAATATTACATGGCTGGTGCAGCCTATTTCCTGGTCAACAGAAACCCCCTGAACATTGATAGTGGGGGATTATGCAATGGTAATGACAGGAAGTGTCAAGGGAGATCGTTAGATTCTGCGCTTTTGGAAATGGCCACTGCCTGGCACTTCGGGTGACACAAATGTCATTTATCCAGGCCTGGATGTTATTCAGGTGCTGAGCTCCCCCTAGTTTCTTCCCAATTGCATGGATCTCAGAAGTCCATACTTAGCAGAATTTTCTGAAATGATAAAACAATTTATCAGCACACCAAATAGCATGTGTACAACTGCCATAGCTTAAAGGAAGTATTTTTCTGGTCTTGCTGCAATGTGGCATGGATTGCTTCAGTACCCAAGTAGTTGCAAATGGCGTGGGACATTATACAATAATAAGCGAACATCCCCACAATTCTGACCTTATGATGGAGGGAAAGTTATTGATGAAGTAGCTGAAGATGGTTGGGCCTAGACACTACCTCAAGTTGTTCTGCAGCAGAGATGACTGACCTCCGACCAACAAAACCATCTTCCTTTTGCAAGGTATGATTTCATCTAGTGGACAGCTTCCCCCCATTTCTCATTGACTTCAGTTTTGCTAGGGCATCTTGATGCCAGACTTGGTTAAATGCTGCTTTGATGTAAAGGGCAATCACGCTCTGGAATTCAGTTCTTTTGTCCATGTTTGGACTGTTAGACTTGGGATATTTGTACACCAATCTTTGAAGGTGGCCAGAAAAGTTGTGAGAGATGTTAAAAGCAAACGAGGTCCTTGATTATACTAACAGAGGAATAAAGAACAAAAGCAAGGATGTTGCGCTGAACCTTTATAAAAGTACTGATTAGGTTACAGGCAGAGAATATTGTGCAACTTTAGGCACCACTATTCAGGATGTTAAAGCATTAGAGAGTAGTGGCGGATATTTTCAAGAGTCGTTCCAGGGATGAGGGGCTTTAGGTACATGGTCAGACTGGGGAGCTGTGGATTTTCTCCATAATGCAATTTTGAGGGAGATTCAAGGATTTTGAAAAGAGTAAATAAATAGAAGCTATTTTTGGCAGAATGGTCAGTAATCAAAATGCACAATTCTAAAAATGAAGAATCAGACATTAAACAATGAATTTCATTCCTCCAACACAGCACATTATTCTGATTTGGAATACTTTGCCTGAGGATGCTGGAAGCAGTTTCAATGGTACTTTTCCAAAGCGAACTGGATAACAATTTCAAAAACATTTGCACAGTTTACACAGAGTCATGCGTTTATTATCCTTCGTTATGGAAGGACAGGTGAATGCAATAAACCAGAGCAAAGGAATAAACTGCATGACCCTACAAGCCTGCTCAACCATTCAATATTGTGGCTTACCTCCTACTCAACCCCACTCTCTCATCCACCACCCATAACCCTTTACTTTCCGAGAAATCAAAATTCAGTCTGTCCCAGTCTTAAATACATTTGTAGTCCAGTTTACCAATCTCATTTCACATAAACAAAATATAGGTGCAGCCCATTCAGCCTTTCAAACCTGCTCCAATAGCCTTTCAAACCTGCTCCAATCAATATAATCTTGGCTGATCGTCTCAGTGCAATGCTCCCGCTTTCTTTTCATACTCTGATCCCTTTAGTCCTAAGAATTATAACTATATCTGTCTTGAAAGTTTTCAACGTTTTGGTCTTAACTGTTTCCTGAGACAGAATTCCACAGGCTCACCACTCTCTGGGTGAAGACTTCATCTTGTCTCAGTCCTAAATGTCTTACCCTGTATTCTCAACCAGTGACTCCCCGGACGCTCTGGTCAACAAGAACATCCTTCCTGCATCTGCCCTGTATAATCCTGTCAGATTTTTATATTTTTCTAGGAGATGACCCCTCATTGTAGTGACTATAATCCTAACCAATCCAGTCTCTGTATGTCAGTCCTGCCAACCCAGGAATTAGTGAGCCTTCTTTGCAGTACCTCAACAGCCAGAACATCCTTCGTCTGATAAGGAGATAAAACTGCACACAATACTCCTTGTGTTGTCTTACCAATGCTCTGTACATTTGGAGAAAGACATGCCTGCTCCCATACTTGACTGTTCTCACAATGAAGGCCAACATACCATTTGCCTTCTTCACTGCATTCTTACTTTCAGTGATTGGTGTACCAGTACACCCGAGTCTACCCACTTCGCCAATTTATCACCATTCAGATAATAATAATAATCTACCCTTCCCGTTTTTGCTACCAAAGTGATAACTTATTGACCCACATTCTACTACATTTGCCCAAAACACACTGAAGCTTCTCTGCATGCTTCTCACATCATACTCTCCAATCCAGCTTTGTGTCATCTGCAAACTTGGAGATTTGACAACTTCCTCTCTAAATCATTAATATATATTGTTAATAGATTGAATGATCATCCCAGGAGGAAGTCTTGGTGAATTTTTTGTTGCACATTATGGCAATATTATCTTTCCTGAGATAAGTACCCCAGGTTTGGTCTAACCAAGCTCCTACACAATTAAAACAACACTTCATTATTCCTACACTCCCATACATTTTATTAGCCTTGCTAATAACTCACTGCATCTACATGTTAGCTTTCACTGATTTATCAACAAGGGTTCCTAGTCCATTTGTACACTTACACTTTTCAATCTCTTATCATTTAAGAAATAGATTACACATCTGTTACACCCACCAAAATGGAAAACCTTACATTTTTCCACATTACATCCCATCGGCCATGATTAGCCCATTCACTAAACTTGTGCAAATCCTCCTGAAATCAACTCATAATAAACATTCCGTTTTAGCTTTGCATCATCTGTAATTTTGGAAATATTCCCTTTGGTCACCAATTCTACATCATTGATATATACTGTAAGCTCAGGCCCAAGTACTGATCCTAGTGGTAACCCTACTGGTCATAAGCTGCCAATGTGAGAATGACCTGATTTACTCTATTTTCTGCTTTTTAGTCATTAATCTATGCTAGTAGGTTACTTCCTATCCCAAGTGCTTTAACTTTTCTAACTAACCTAATGCCCAACTTGATCATTATCAATCAGGTGTCTACTTATCCCATCGCTAATAATAGATTCTAGTATTTCCCTACCACTGATGCAAAACTGACAGGTCTGCAGTTCAGTTTTCTCTCTTGTTCCCTTCTAAAATAGTGGGGTGACATTTGGAATCATTCCAGAGTCAAAAGAAGGTAGGAAAATAATAACCAAAACAGCAAGTCTCTCTATAGACACCTCCTTCAACAAGTTGATGAAGCATCTATAGCCCTTTGCAGGACAGAATTCCAGTATTCCATAAACTTTTGAGTGAAGAGATTTCTCATCAGTCCCAAATTATTGGCCCATTATCCAGAGACTGTGTTTAGTTTCGAGCCAGTTTTACATTTCTATCTTTACTCAGTTCCGGCCAAAAGCTATCTTGAACCGAGGCGATAAGTCCCTTCACAAATACCGCCAGTCCTGCTGAGGTTTTAGGTTTGCATTTCAGAGTTGCAGCGTCTGTAGGAATTTTGTTGGGAACTCGCCCTCGGCTGCAGAGAAGCCACGATAACCCCCATAGCCTGTTCGCTCAGACCCCTGCTGCTGGCCACAAAAGATGCACCAACCTCGCTGGGTTTGGGAAATCCCAGCTTTCAGTACCTCCCCATCACTCACCTGGAACTCAGATCCTCTTGGTCACTCGGCTCCTCCACCAGATACGGGTCATCCTGCTCCTGGCGGTTCATGTTGGAGCTCAAGCCTGGGCGCCCCCGAGCCCGGGCCTGTCCCTCTCCTTTCGCCCCGAGCCCTGCCCCGGGCCTGTCCCTCTCCTTTCGCCCCGAGCCCTGCCCCGGACCTGTCCCTCTCCTTTCGCCCCGAGTCCTGCCCCGGGCCTGTCCCTG